TTTACTGGGAACAAATAGAATAAATATGCAAGACCTGATTCTCCATCAGTCAGTTTTTGGATACATCGTTAGCGGGTCAGTGCGCATGCCGCAGCAAGGCAGTGTTGATAATTTTTGTGGGTTTGTGGAAAATGGGGATAATTTATCTGACAACATGAGAAGGTTTTGGGAGATTGAAGGTATTAATGAAGCAAAAAAAAGTGAAAAGTCAGGAAGAGGAATTTTGTGAACAGCACTTTCTTCGTACACACGCGAGGCAAGATGATGGCAGATATGTAGTGGAAATGCCAATTAAGGAAGAAGGACTTAGCCTTTTAGGGGAATCGAGAGAAAACGCTAGCAAAAGACTGAATTATCTACTTAAACGCTTCACTCGCAATCCCGCAATGAAACACTTATACGAAGATTTCATTAAGGAATATAATGAATTAGGCCATTCCGAAGAAATTGATGAAGGGGATAGCTCTAGTTTCTCATATTATCTTCCTCACCATGGGGTTTTCAGGCCCGAGAAACCTAGCACTAAACTTAGGGTAGTGTTCGATGCCACTGCTCCTACGACTACTGGAATTTCGTTAAACGATATTCTGCTGAATGGAGGGTTAGTTCAAGACGAACTATTTGATATTATTTGCAGATTTCGAACGCATAAAATTGCCTTCACAGCAGACATTGTAAAAATGTATCGTCAGATTTTGATTAAAGAACATCAAAGAGATTTATTACGCATCTTATGGAAGAGTAGTGAAGAAGAACCAGTTAAGGTCTATAGACTGAAGACTATAACTTACGGTACTTCCAACGCACCCATATCTAGCAACACGCACACTTAATCAATTAGCAGAAGACGAGAGAAAAACAATTTTTCGTTAGCAGCGCCAATAGTACAAAGGGATTTTTTATGTCGATGACGTACTCACAGGAGCCCATACTCTAATAGAGGCTAAAGAATTACAGTCGCAATTGATTAACCTATTATCACGTGGAGGAATGCGTCTGCACAGATGGTGTGCTAATCATCCTGATCTTTTGCAGTTTCCGGATGGACAAGAGGAATATTCTTTCAGTAATTTCGATGACGATCAGAGCATCAAAACTTTAGGATTATTATGGAATCCAAAGATAAAGATAGATTGTTTTTCGTACAAATCAACAATCAAAATCAAGAAACCAACTACTTACACAAAGAGAACAGTGTTGTCTGATATTGCTCGCATTTATGATCCATTAGGACTGCTTGGTCCAGGGATAACAAAAGCAAAAATCTTCATCCAAAGACTTTGGTTATTGAAGCTTGATTGGAACGATCCGCTACCCGAAAGGAAAGGATAATTAAGGATTGGCAACTTTTTATTGATTCAATGCAATCTATCAACAATTTGAAAGTCAGTAGATATGTTTTACAGGATAGTTTTTCTGATATACAAATTCATGGATTTTCAGATGCATCAGAACACGCATACGGAGTAGCCATCTATTTACGCTGTAGAAGTGACAATAATTTATCTTCACATTTGCTTTGCAGCAAGTCCAGAGTAGCTCCACTAAAACCGCTGACAGTACCTCGACTGGAACTCTGCGCAGCTGTACTGCTAGCACAGCTTGTTGCAAAGGTGGTGCCTTTATTGAAATTGGACATCAGTAAAATATGTCTGTGGTGTGACTCAACCATAGTGTTAGCATGGCTTCAGAATCCTCCGCATGTACTAAAAACTTTTGTTGCTAATCGAGTGTTGCAGATCCAAGAGCTAACACATACATGCCAGTGGAATTATGTGCGTTCAGAGGAGAACCCGGCAGACCTTATTTCCCGAGGACTGAATTTTGACAAGCTGCATGATGCTGATCTGTGGTGGAAAGGTCCTCCATTCTTGAGTGAGGGTGTCATACCTAACAAGAACATTGACTTTGAACAATTAGAAAAAACAGAGACATTTTCTAATGAACTGAGAAAAAGAACTGACATTGCTTGTTTATGCACTTTGCCTTCAAAATTTATTGATAATGTCCTAGATATCACTAACAATTATTTTTAAAATTATTACGTATTGTTAGTTATATTTTCAGGTTCATTTGGAACTCTAGGTGTGCAAAACAGAAAGGAGCACAGAGAAGAACAGGAGGAGTAAGTTCAAAGGAGTTAAATGAGGCAGAATCCTTTTTAGTAAGAGAGGTTCAAAAATGTAGTTTTTATTCAGATTACAACTCCCTCGCACAAGGTAAACCCATTAATAATAAAAGTAATTTACTTTCTTTGAACCCTTTTTTTGGATGCAAATAATGTAATGAGAGTAGGAGGCCGATTACAAGGGGCCAATGTAATGTTTTCACAAAAACATCAAATAATTTTGCCTGTTAAATGCAAACTAACTAAGCTGATTGCTGAGCATTATCATCAGAAATATTTACACGTAGGTTCGCAAGCATTATTGTGTTTTATGAGACAGAAATTTTGGCCATTACAAGGTAGGAATTTAACTAGAAAGATTACCCATGAATGTATAATTTGTAGTAAAAATAAACCAGTCACTATCGAACAAATTATGGGGTCATTACCTGCAGAGCGCGTAAATCCAAGCTCACCCTTTAATCATGTCGGCACCGATTTTTGCGGTCCATTTTTTATTAGGTACAAGGGACAGAGGAAAGGAACTCTTCATAAGGTATATATTTAGCTCTTTTCATTTGCCTTATAACAAAGGCAGTGCATCTCGAACTAGTGAGTGATCTCACCACTGACGCATTTATTGCCACCTTAAAGAGATTTATTGCTAGGCGCGGAAAATGCTCAATCATTTTCTCAGACAACGCAAAAAACTTCGTTGGCGCAAATGCCGAATTGCAAAGAATTAACAATTTAATTAGAAATCCCGACAAAAAATTAGCAGATTATTTAGGTGAAGAAGGAATCGTTTTGGAAGTTCCCCCACGGACACCTAATTTTGGTGGACTATGGGAATCTGGAATAAAATCCGTGAAATATCACTTAAAGCGGATTGTAGGTAATGCAAGGTTGACTTTCGAGGAGTTATTAACTGTAGTAACTCAGATAGAGTCTGTTTTAAATTCTCGCCCTATTACTCCCTTATCTTCCGATGTAAATGATTTAGAGGCATTAACACCAGGCCATTTTCTCATTGGAAGACCCTTGAATGCTATAGTAGAACCCGAATTAATTGATATACCTGAAAACAGACTCTCAAGATGGAAACGAACTACCAGATTTGTCCAGTTGATATGGAATCGTTGGCATAGGGGACTATTTAAACACACTACAACAGCGTTCAAAATGGAAGGTAGAACAAACGAATATTAAAATAGGTATGCTAGTACTAGTTAAGGAGGATGAGCTTCCTGTTTGTAGATGGGTGTTAGGGGCGCATTACAAGAATTTTTCCTGGAGTTGACGGTAAGGTTAGAGTAGTAGAAATACAGACAGCAAAGGGCATTATTAAGCGTGGAATTACAAAAATTGCAATTTTACCCCAAGAAGAAGCTTCCTAAGTTAGTTAAGTGTTAGCTTATTATTATAAAACTTGTATTGTACATTGTATTGTGCACAAAATTTTGTATTGAAAATTGAATATTATTATATTGAATTAAGAGATGTTATTCGTATTGCATTATTGTATAAGGTAGTAATTGTACAATTTTGTAGGTTATTATGAGTATTATCGAACGAAATTATTGAAGTAACCCTTCAATGCCGGGGGGTATGTTAAGTCATTAAGACTATTTAACTGTAAGATTACGTCATTTTTTCTCTTCTTGGCGCCTTGCATGGCGCAGATGTTCATTACAGCAACCCTGTAAACGCTTACTCAGTTTTTTTTTTATTGCTGTTGTTATTAGTAGTAAGTCATCGCTTGAAAGATGGCACGCATTTGATTAAAGTTGTCGAATAAAATATTTAGTACAGTCCACTTCTAGTTAATTTGAAATTGTTGTATAACAACGCACGCATCGCATGAACAACCCTTGTCACCGCTAGCACGTAGTTTCGCTCACTTCCTCACAACAGTATGAAAAATGTAAATGTTTTTGAATAGGCGTTGCTGCAAAAGAATAGGCGCGTTTTTGAACAGGGCGCGGCTACAAAAGTGAAATAAAGTTGAATATTTAATCTTACTCTACTGCCAAGTTTCCTCTTCATTGTGGATCTACATTCTACGCCATCAACATGACTACTTCTTTTTCATCACACTCACATACACACACACACACACAGACACCACACACATATATATACTATATATATATATATATATATATATATATATATATATATATGTTGTAGTAATACATAAGTTAACGCCGCTTCACTTCAACACTTTCGTTTTCTTCAGAATTATGGTAACAGCGCTTATGACAATTGCATATTAAAAGAGTTATCTCTTTTAGTCTCCGAGTCTCCGAGTTTTTAATTAACATCTCTGATTTTAACTACTTTTTTTTTTTTTTTTTTTTTTTTTTTTTTTTTTTTTTTTTTTTTTTTTAAGTGGATGTCGACTTTTTCCAGGACAGAAAAGATTTGAAGAAAGTTTGGTGATGATAGCTGTAGTAGTGACTGAGTTATTAGACGACAAACACACAGACTTTCTATATATAGATAAAAAAGCAGAACTTTTATAGATACTAAAATAATTAATAATTCTCTTAAGCATGCCTCAATATTTAGTGCATAAGATTTCTGAGGATTTTCTAAATTTATTTTATAAATTCAGTACATACTTTCTCGAACAGAAAAATGTATAAATCATATCAAGTTAACTAGTAAACCGTTGAGAAATCGAACAGATACTAGTTTTCAGGTGTTATCTAATTATCTATGTATAGTTATTTTAAGAAATAATTAATATATTTTTTACATTTAATCGGTGTTATTTATAATATTAAATTCGTTTAAACATTATAAATTACAGAATCTGCTTTTCTTGCAAAATGAATTGCATTTGTCATACATTTCTTTAATTAATTTGATTATAATTTTGTATTTTTAGGTGCTTTCCGTCCAAGAATAAACCGTCCTAATGGTTTCACCATCAAGATGACCTTCAAAATGCCTATAGTTACAAAGGACGAGATGGCCTTTCGGTTCCATCAGAACTGGCGGGAACAGAACCCTGAAGACTGCGCCGATGACAATGGGGCTGTTGATGATGGCCTCACTGACCTGAACTGGTTACAGAACCTCAACATCATGACAAAAATTGGGGCTCCCACTCCTGAAACTCCTCCAGCTAGTCCAGTGCCATCTCCTGACTCCTTCACCGCTTCAAAGACACCTTCTTGTTGCAGTGAGAGGAGCAACCTTGTCGCAAAAGCCAAAGCAAATCTCTGCAGCAAGCCTGTAGTGGAAGACGTGGATTACAAGTCAAACGGGAAGGTGAAGCCTCCGTATTCATATGCGACTCTCATCTGCATGGCCATGAAGGCCAACAAGAACAAAATGACCCTCTCCGCAATCTACAAATGGATTAAAGAGAACTTCATGTATTATAGAAACGCGGATCCTAGTTGGCAAGTGAGTACCTAGTTTTATATTTATTTCAATGTCCGCGAGCTTATTTTTCATGAATGATCAATAGAATTGCAAACTATCATTTGATTAAAATGATCTTTTTATTAATTTTCCTAATTCTTTTGAATCGTATTAAATCTTTTAAATACTTACGAAATAGATTTATTATAAATACTAAAATTAGCCTTAAATTTTAACAGAATAATAAACTTGACAGCATCACATTGATTTTTACAAAGCAACAGTTTCGTTTCTTATTATTTGAAACCTTTCTGAGCCTGATATATAAATTCTTAAATCATAAATTTTGCTTCCGCGAAAGAATTTAAAGTGGTCCAAGGATAAGACTTAAGGCCACTTCTGACTCTACCTAGAAGCAATATACTTATAAAGTAATATTACATTTTCTTTATAGAAAGCAGATTTAAATATTTTTACTCTTTTATCAAATTTAATGAAGTATTATAGTAAGTCAATGTACTTTTACTATCACGGAATTATTACATGCCCTTACTAACTAAGCACAACTTTAACAATGATGAGCATATGTTTGACACTTTCAGAAAGCTGCATTAATAAATGCTCAGAAAACGTAGAATAATTATTTTTTGAACGTTTTCATGAGAGTTCCGAGAATATTCAGAGTATGTTTCGCCAACGGCTTACCTAGGCATCAACGTTCATTACATTTTCTTTTATTGCTAGGTTTCAGAATACATGGAGTTTCATAACATTCTGTACTGAAAATTTCTCGAAAAATCGGATCCGTCACCTTCCTTCCATGTAACTTTCTTATTGTACAAGTCGCCTTCATCTCCAGCCTCCCATCCTTCTAATCTTTCTCCTTTCCCAGTACATGACCGAATATTTCATCGTCATCTTAAGATAATGGGACAGAAATCGAATTGGCTACATCCATCCAACCCGCATCTCCTCTTTACTAATGCTAAATTTATCCACACATATAAATCCAACATGTCGGCCATGGGCACTGAACGCGTTTTAAAACTAAGAGTCGCTTTTTCCCTCTACTAGCTATCTACATACATGATCAGAAAGCACATTTAACACCACCAATGACATAAGGTAATGTTTTCAAAAACTTTTCAAGCAAAAGATAGTGTAAATCTTTCTTCTTATAGTGCGAATCGTTTCTAGAAATTATGGCCACTAACTAAACAGTTTATACTTAACGCATAAAAAGAGAGAGGTAGTTTATCTTTAGGTTCTAGATCAGGGGCTGGCAACCATTTGTAGTAAGATGAAATATTTCAGAAATGAGGGAGTTCGGCGGGCACCTTAGTAATGATGAAATGTCTCTCCACGTTACACATTTTAGCATTCTCTGCAATTGAATTGCATAATGAAGATATAATTTTTTCTTTATAATAAATGAAATAAAATTGTTCTTGCTCCTCAATATTAAACTTTCTCCTCACATGATGTATCTTCTGCTTCTTATTTCTTCTTTCTGTGGGGGTACTTTGTTTAGAATTCGAAATACAAATTCCTGAAATGACAAGTTTACGTACGAACAAAGGTTACAGATGTAAAGCGTAGTACATCCTAATTGCGCAAAGTATACGAAGACAGTGAGAAAAGAAAATAGTTCACTAAATGCGGAATCAGTTGTTACTAGCCGTCGAAAATTGATTCATATAGTACCTGGATGTCGCTGATTCATATAGTACCTGGATGTCGCTAAGACTAAATTGTTATCAAATGTTTTAATTTTACTATTCGTACAGTTACTAAAATGACTAAGATAAAATATTATTATGAATTATTATAAAAGAATTATATGAATAATTATGAATTATTATAAAAGTATTTAGTAAAATTATTCATTGCAATTATGAGTGCTTGTTGTCCAAATATCTAAAGTTTAGAATTTAGATATTTAAAAGGCGGGCATTTGAAAATTGCTTCGCTGGCATCTTGGTTCCTGGAGACACCGCTTTCCCGAACCTTGTTTTGCAACTCCTTTCATGCATTGGTTGGACAGGCTTGTTACACTGTGATGAGGAAACATAACATAAATGTTTTCCACATTTAAATTTAGCCTATTATATATTATTTTTAATCTCATAGGCGTAATTTCAGATTAAATTTAGATCTTCAAAAATTCCGTTATTTTGGTATTGTCTGTTAATTGGGTGACGATTACGAGAGATTTTGCTGCACTATAAAATACATATAAATAAAATTATGGTGTAATTATGTGACATTATATTTCTCTTCTTTATCTTTTGCTCTTTCCATTTCCAGTAGTATTTCAGTGTGGCCTTTTATTTATAAGTTTTATTTGCTAAATGTATATTGTTTTTTGGTATTGAGGGCACTGAAGTTAGTTAAACGAAATAAAACCTCCTATGCATACTAAAATGCTATTGAATTATAATAAAATAAGAAATATAATGCCCTACTTTGAACAGAAATTAATTGCTTTGATTTTGTTGAATGCAGTCAAATGTCTAATTGAATAGTGTATTTGTTTTGCAATGAATACCTTACAAAATGATATTTATATTAAAAATATCTTAAACTAAATAAAGCAAGCAATTTCAGAAGAAATTTGGTAAAATCAGATAATTTCCGACATACAATAAAACATAAATATATTAAATGTAATCTAGTGTTTTGATGATTGTCTTTTTTTCAGCCAATAACAGAATTAGGTAAATGAAACCATTTTTACAGATTTAAAAAATATAGTATCGTATATTTTAGCACTGAAAAAGAAAATTAATGTAAAATAAATAAATAAAATAAATAAAAGAATTTAAGTACGAATTCTTCGATTCGAAAAATCCCAATAAGCTAATATACAGTATAGTATTTCTAAAATTCTTAATGTTACCTTTAAGAAAATTCAAAATGCTTTGTTTTTAAAATTTATAATTGTAATTTGAGTCTGGAAGAATATTAAGTATAGCTGGGATAAGGAAACTTTCCTTGCTATTCCTTCAGAAGCCAAGCCTGTATTATCTTAATATCTATTCAATAATCTCAAAGATTAATTTATAACGCTTGTTTAATACTTGTCAGTTGTCGAAGCAAGCCTATAACATCCCGATGTTATCCTGAAATACTTGTTTCATACCACTTTTATTTTGGTTGTGTTTGGATATAACCATGCTGTTCTTGCCGAAGATAGCTCGAACTTATTTAATGATACTTAACTTCAGTAAGTGGACTGTAATATTAACAGTAACAATTTTATTTTAACAAAAACAACATTATTGAATACTAGCACACGCATGTGCTTATAGTTACCTATGTAACGTAGCTAAGAGCGAGCAACCATATGCTCTTACATCAAGTCAGAAATCATTCATACTAATAAAGCAAAAACGAAATAACTTTAGGGTTACACTAAAGCCAAACTCTGCTTGGCGTAAAACAATGCTGCCAAGCAATACTCTTTCAGACACCGAACATCCCGCCCGGCGTTGAAATATTAATTTCAATACAATAAGTAAAATTCAAAAAAGTAATAAATGTTCATACAATACAAAATGAAACAATGTAAATTAATGCACAAATTATAATACAAGTAATTACACTGTGAAATAATATGATAGATTACAATTCAAACCTTCAAATAAACATAAAAATTCGTACATTATTTCTCAATTGGCAGTACAGCAATTTTAGTAACTGCTCGTTTATAAATACCATTTTTGGTTTTGACAGAGACAACTCGCACAAGGTTGTTCTTCCCATAAAACACATCTACAATTCTCCCTAACAACCATTTGCAGGTAGGAAGATTTTCTTCCTTAATCACTACCATATTTCCTATTTTAATATTTTGTTTAGCAATCATCCATTTATTTCTTTGAATCAAAGTGCTCAAGTAATTATTAGTCCAGTTCTTCCATATATTTTGTACCATTTTTGTAGTTTTTTGCCATAAACTAAGTCTGTTATTATCTACTTCTGTTAAATTGGGTTCAGTTATTGAATTGATCGGTCGACCTATAAGGAAATGACCAGGGGTCAAAACATTTAAATCATCAATATTAGAAGTTAACGGTGTAAGAGGGCGAGAATTTAAGATTCCCTCTACTTGAACTGTTACTGTCAAAAATTCTTCGTAGGTTAATACTGAATTTCCTACTGTTCGTTTAAAATGAAATTTAAAGGAGTTTACTCCTGCTTCAGATAGACCATTAAAATTTGGTGCTCTTGGGGGTATAAACTTCCATTGTATACCTTCCTCAGCTTGAAAATTAGCTAAAGTTCCATTCTGCTTTAGAAAAATACTCATTAATTTTTTTATTTCTGTATTTGCACTAACAAAGTTTTTTGCATTGTCACTAAATATTTTTTTTGGTTTACCTCGTCGGGCAAAGAACCTCTTCAGACAAGCAATGAATGCTTCTGCGGTTAAGTCATTGACAATCTCTAGATGGATTGCTTTTGTCACCATACAAACAAAAATACAAACATATATCTTATGATAGTTACCCTTGCGTTGCCCTTTGTACTTTATCAAAAATGGGCCGCAGTAATCAATAGCACAACAATTAAATGCAAAGTCAATATTAATTCTCTCTTTAGGTAATTCTCCCATTAGTTGTTGAGAAATTATTGGTTTTGCCTTAAAGTAAATTATGCAGCTTTGGACTATCTTTCTAGCTATATTCCTGCCATTAATGGGCCAATAAATTTGTCTAATAGAATTTAATAGTGATTGTGGACCATTATGAAAATCCTTTTCATGAAAATAAATAAATATAAGTTCAGTTAACTTATTCTTGGCAGGCAAAATAATGGGATGTCTTTGACTATAACTTAAATTAGAATTCTTTTATCCTACCACCTACCCTTAACAGACCTTTTTCATCTAAGAAGGGATGAAAATATTTTAACTTACTCCTTGATGTTATCTGTAGACCTTTCTGCAACAAAGAAATTTCTTCGGCAAAATACCTACCTTGGATATATTTAAGGAGTGTATTCCTTGACAGCTCCATTTCATCTATACTAATACTACC